TGTCTGTGTTTGTGTGTGTCTCTGTGCGTGTGTCTGTCTGTGTTTGTGTGTGTGTGTCTGTCTGTGTGTCTGTCTGTATTTGTGTGTGTGTCTGTGTTTGTGTGTCTCTGTGCGTGTCTGACTGTGTGTGTCTGTGTTTGTGTGTGTCTCTGTGCATGTGTCTGTGTTTGTGTATCTGTATTTGTATGTGTCCCTGTGCATGTGTCTGTCTGTGTTTGTGTGTCTGTGTTTGGATGTGTCTCTGTGCGTGTGTCTGTCTGTGTTTGTGTGTTTGTGTGTGTGTGTGTGTCTGTCTGTGTTTGTGTGTGTTTGTGTGTGTCGGTGTTCCCTGTGCGTGTGTGTGTGTGTGTGTGGTTCTGTACATAGTACTCAGCTGCACACGGTAAACGCTGACATTCAGGAAATCCCACACCGTTGACAAGAGCTGAATGCTACAGCCACCAGCAGCAGATACGTTCAGTAGGTTCAAATCAAAACTGGTCAGAAAATAAAATTCATAAAGTGCATTATGTGTTCATGACCAGGACTACTTTAGATCTTGATGTGGTGTGAAGTTGACAGCATTCCCAGACACTACGGGAACAAACCCTTCCCAACCAGAATTATGAAAATAGCCTGTCCGTTGCTGTTGGTCGGACCTGGCTTTGCAAACGTTGGCTGCAAAATTTCCTAGGCTACCATGTTGGCTAGAGTTTGACAGAATACTTGATTGGTTGTAAAGTGCTTTGGAACGTGCTATATAAATATATATCCAGTTCCTCCTATAAGATAATTGCAGCACTCTCCCCACCAAATATATAATGTACTCATTGGGAGCCACTCTCTGTAATCCTTCTTCTGTTTAATTTGCCACAATATGACCAGCATTTCTCTGAAGGATGTTGTGGATGTTTTCACTTATCAGAGCTCTTCAAATTAATTCAAAAATCCTGCATCTATTCAGAAGTGAAAAGAATAAACTTACATTTATATAGCACCCTTCACAATCTGAGACTGTTCCAAAGTGCTTCACCACTGACCAAAGTTTTGAGGGGTGAATTAATTTTTTCACTCTTCTTCAAATAGGCTATTTCAAACTTTCAAGAGCCAGCTCATTCATATTGTGGTTGCGTGATACAGATCACTTTGGATGTGAGGTGCTGTGGCAAAAAGCATTTTTACAGGCAAGTTACAGGTTGGAGCTAAGGAACATGACAGTGGAGGCTCCAATTTTCAGCCCATCATACTGCTGACTAGGAATCTCTTCCAGTTTCAGCACCTAGTATTGGTATGCGTTGAATGATACATATGCAGAGAATTGATCTGATTGGTCATTTTGGGGATGCATCTTCCTTGGCAAACAAGTCCTGGAATCAGATGTGAACCCAAAGCTTCTGACTCTCAGGGGGCTATCATCCACTACACCATAAGACCTCTCACCATTTATATTATAGCAAGGATTTATCAAAATTAAAGAAATGTAATAACAGCAGTGAGATATCTTGCTGTTCTGAAGAAGGTCTAGGCCTGAAACATCAGCCTTCCTGCTCCTCTGATGCTGCTTGGCCTGCTGTGTTCATCCAGCTCTACACCTTGTTATCTCAGATTCTCCAGCATCTGCAGTTCCTACTATCCCTGAAACTCTTATCTGTTTCCCATCTATTTTCCAATCATCTCAATGTTTTCTATTCTGCCTTTTTTTGTTCCTTGATTCAATGCTTAGATTCCTTGCTGATGTACAATTCATTGGAATCAATTAACTTTTGACACTTTCTCCATGTGTCTTGTTTGAGCTCAGATGATCAACAATAATGGCAATTTAACAGGGATGGACACCACACCGAATGTTATTCGTACATTCACTAATGACTATATGAAACATCCACAGCAAGGTCATTTGGTAGCAAGAACAGGAAGTCTAGTTAATTTTCAGCTCTCTAAGCAAAGGTCTTAATGTCATTTTTACCCAACCATTCTCACCAAAATCAGCTAATTCAATGTAATCAGCAATGGAACCTGGGTCCCCTCTGATCCATATGGCTCAATTGAAGAGTAGTTTACCCAGCAGTAGTAGAGAAAAATATATGGCTTTATACAACACTTCCTAGTTCTTCTTCATGCAATCGAAAATATGACATTAAAACAAATAAGAAGGATTGATGATCAGAAATTTCACAAAAGAAACTAGAAGCAAAAAAATGAACATTATAAGAAGAAAACTTCTGTTTGCTAATATTCAGGTTTTCTTTGATGAAAAATGCAATAACATTTCACTGGCCTGACATATTTCAAGGTCAATGGGATATTAACTGAACTTATTTAACCATTAGGACCCACATTCTATGGTAAGAATACGAACTCATGATCAACTTCAGTTTCTTTACTCTGCACCAGTGACAGTACTTATTTTACACAGGGAAACATGGCAACAGAGTGCCACTGAATCCATTAAGGTTATATATTGCAAACACCTTATAAAGTCTAATTCATCTTTACGCCATTCATTTAATCCTTGTGAAAATGAAAGTTAATTAAAAATAATCCCCAGACTTTTCATCTACAAATAGAAATAAAATATTGACTATACTGCTGTCTACAAACAACATGCAGCACTTTGTTCCTTTCCCTTGCCTGAGGACAATATCTTGAAAGAATCTTGCATCTTATTCCATATCAATCTCTATCAATTCCAGTCCTCTTTTCAGTCAGATATTCTCCAAATCCATTTTAAAGGATTTCACTTACATAATTGCAACTCTTTAGCTGGAAATTCAGTGGTCTGAGCAAATTGATTTCACTTGTTCTCTGGATTTATTACAGCTGGACTTCAGGTTTTCTAACATATCAACCTGCATTGCGTTGTTGTCACCAGAATCAAACTGTTAAGCTATTGAACTGCCTGAGTTGGATAGTGAAAATCCTATAATGCAGTCCTATTGATTTAAGGTTGATCCTCCTGCCCCCGGTGAACAAATTTCTGGTCTAACAGAGTGCACAGGGTACGCTAAAACTACAGAGTATGGATCATAGTGTCCTCTCAAATCACCAGGCACAATAAAAGGCATGTCTGGAATAGACCGCTCAAAGCAAAGATGTAAAATTTACAGCAACTTGGCTATTATCTAACTATCAATGCAGAGTTTGAGTGTTAGCACCAACCCTTCTATTCCTCCCTCTCGAAAACATCTTTTCCAAATATGACATGCTATTTCAATCTTACTGTCTGAATGTCTGCTTTATCCTAAATGGACACATCATTTTTGAGTAAGTGCTGTAAGATATGACTCATTCTTTCACAGACACAAAGAGCCAAAGTAAGTTCAATACTGCTATTTGATTAAAAGAACAGAGCTGAAGAAATCTGTAAAATATATTTGGTTTAGCTGATGCCATTGAATATTTCCTCGGAGGATAGTGTCAAGAAGGAGTAAGAAGCTGATCCATGAAGCTGTCAGATTCTAGTAAAATCTCATTCACTAATGCATTTAAGAGAAGGAAATCTGCAATTTTTACGTGATTCCAATCCCACAATCAATACTTAACTGCCTCTAATGTGGTCTAGTAACCAGCTCAGATGCATTAAAACTACAGATCACAATGGTTCATCACCTTTTCAAGGCAAATTGAGATTGGAAATAAATATTGGGCTTGGCTGCAGCTCCACAACCCTAGATTAAATTTAAAACATGAATGCATATAAATTTTCATTGTAGGTGTAGCCCTTTTATCACACTTGATTAAGGTATACAGTAGCTATTTCCTGGAACCTGATCTTGTTGAATTCATAGTTCATTTGTTAAGTGCACTGCCTTGATGTAGGATTTTCATAAACTTTTGAAATAATTTGTGTTGTGTTCAGCAGTTGTCTCAAAACAGCCAAGTTGGGTTAGCAGTGAGAGCATTGCAACCAAGGAAATCCTAAATCTACATAGGAAAATTGGAATTAGGAGTGGGAGTAGGCAATTCAACACATCAAGCCTGCTCCACTATTTAACATGACCATAAATGATCTTGTCTTGGTCTGAACTCCATTCTCTTGCCTGCTCCCCCAGAACTCTTTATCCCACTTTTTATCAGAACATATCTATTTCTTTCTTGAATCTATTGATTGATTCTGTCTCCACTGCAATCTGGGGCAGGGAGTTCCACACATTCACAACCCTCTGAAAGAAATAGTTTCTCCTCATCTCAGTTTTGAACCTACCTCCTCTCTTTCTATATCTATGATCTCTTGTTCAAGACTGTCCCACAAGGGGGCACATCTGTTCAATATCCACCTTATCAATCCCCTTTAGCACTTTATATACCTCAATCAGATCCCCTCCCCACCCCCATCTTCTAAACTCCAGCAAGTACAAGCACAAGCTATTCAATCGCTCCTCATTCGACAGCCCTTTCAACCCTGGAATCAATCTGGTGAACCTCCTCTGAACTACCTGCAGTGCCACCCTCAGGTTAGGAGACCAAAACTGGACACAAGACTCCAGGTGTGGCTTCACCAACACCTTTTACAATTTTGCCAAGCTTTTCCACCTAATCAATCAGCTTCAGCTATTTTGATAGTGGAACCAAGGTGTGGATTGAGCTAGTTATAAAATGAGTAAGTATTTGGAAATTTTCAAGTATGCAGATCCCTTGCCTGACTGGTGAAAGGGAAATCTAGAATGGCAGCTATTTTATTCACATTTCATTAATTTGTGCCACCTTAGAAAGATCATTAATGGAGTGGTACAGTAAAGGCATTTGATATTATCATTCCACCATTGTTAGGATTGAGTTATATTCACAATGCAGGAGCGTCTGGGAGTCTAAAAACAACAAAGAGCAGCAGAAACAGAGATCACTAACTTGTACCTCTGAAACTAGTCTGTATTTTTGGTTTATGTTATTGTTCTTGGTGTTGACTTTAGGAGAATAATTAACTTAATACGATTAACATCTAAGATTGGATGTAGAGAATTATTTTGAGCTAATGGCATCTAGTTTGCAGTAATTGCCTTTAAATTGAATTGTGAGAGCCAGGAAAAAGCTCAGTGTGCATATTTACATGATACAAGCAGTCCTATAAAAGTACGCAGAAGAAGGTCAATTATCAAAAAAAACAAAATGTCTTAAATTCTAAAGCCTAGCACATCACATGGATCCTGAAATACTTTTTGAATCTAATTTCTGAAGATTCTGGAGTTATACTCAATGCGAGTCAAAAGAAAGCAGCGTGACAGTCCAGCAGAGGATATTTCACGTATTACTCCAATGAAGAACCTGGTTAGGACTGATGCAAAAGTACACGTATAACTGAACTTCAATGCAAAACACGTTTACTTTGACTGGCTCCTGTTTGCCTGAAACTCCAAATCATTCTTCCCAAGTATTAGTTCTGCACACACAGAACACAGGCTGCACCAGAACTTTCCCAATAACTATGAATCTAAATGTTTTGAATATAGTGATTCCTTGGGCTTTTAAAATAAGGTCAAATGTGTTTAAAAAGAGCCAGGCTCCTGACTGAGTAATGTGCAAACCAGTGTTGAAAATGTACTCAATCTAAACCCAACTGTTAAGCCTAACAATGAAGGATTTTCCTACCAAGTAACTTCACAGCAATTCACTTAATGCATAGCCCAGTTCAACACTAAAAATATAACATTAAAACAACATGGACATCTCTTCAAACTGACCCCAAATTTGTTGTGTAAACCCTTTATTACTAACATCAAAATCATTGTACAATAGGACACTTGTTATTTTTATTCAAATCCCCCACTGAGCTAACCCCAATATATATTTCCAGTTATAAGCATCAGTCATAATGTTGACTGGGTCCCAATGACTCAGTGAGTGATGTTCTTTTGATCATTGGTGGAATGCCTAGTTTTAGGGTGATTTCCTTTTGCATCTTCTTCTTATCAAAACAAGACAAAATGGGAAAAAGAGGAAAAACCTCTCCTGAGACAGATAATGTGCAGAATGTTATCACAGGCCCAATTTTGAATACCATTTGCATTTTCTTTTCAGTTTTAGTACTATGAAAAGTCTAATTTGGAAAAGAAAATGTTTTAAGTCTTGGTATGAATACAAACAGTAAATTGAAGTTATGCTCATGAAATTCATGGAATTTCTCACTTTCAAAGCAAAGCATGTAAACCCCTTGATTTGGTTACATCTTCATAATATATTCCTAGGTATTTCTTACTCTGTGGTGATCCATGCAACTATAAAAACCTATTATTTTTAAATTATCACAATACTTTGAGAGAACAGGAATATTACCTATCTCTAGTCCATATATTAATATTCTGTTCAGAAGAAAATTAGAAAAATGACTGATTAGTGAAGTAATTGCTGCAATATTTGGGAAGTTCATAATGACCAATTTAAATGTTTTGATTAAAAGTCACTAAACTAGAAATGTTAACTTTTCTTTCTTCCCACAACTGCTGCCAGACCTACTGAGTTACGCCAGCAATTTCTCTTTGTGTTTCAATTCCAATGTCCTTGTTTTCCAAGAACAATGGGATAGATTCCAATGAAACCACAGATGAGCTAGAACCAAATAGCGTATTTACACTCCAGCTGCCATTTTCACTTAGTACCAATACCACAGATACAGCGTGAGTCCAGAATGCGGGACCAGCCCAAATACAGAGGCAAAGGCATTGAAATCCCACACCATTGCACCTAACTGCCTGGTGGGTAAACCTAGCGGACTCTATATTTAGAAATATTAATTTAAAATAATAAATGCTTGAAAGGTTCAGCAGTTCAGACAGTATCTTTGAATTGAGAAAAGGAGATAAAGATTCAGGTCTTTCATAACAGATTTTGCCTGACCTGCTGAACATTTCCAGCACTTTCTTAATTGTTTCAGGTTTCTGGCATCCGCGATATTGAGGTTTTGTTCACTATTCAATGCACACTAATGTAAAGGGGAATCGCGCCTATGCATGTAACCCACTGCTGAGCAGAATTCTTTATATTATCCTAACTATCCAGGAGCGAAGTTACAATTCCAGCTGGGAGCAAACGCAGTTTGAAAAGACTCATTCTCACACAATATTTCTAATTCTATCAGTCGCCCTCTCATTCCCGGTTTGAAACTAATTCAGATTAAGACGATTCACACAACAGCACGCATGCACAAAAGACCTGGCGTTATTTTTTGGAGCTATTACGCCAGTGTTTCACCATTATTGCTGGAAGGGACAGTCAAGTGGGGAAAGGTTTCTCACATACAGTACTTTTAAAAAGCAACTCCCGCCGGTCTGCCCCAGCCTGGTGGAGATTCCCCCCGCCGGGTGGGAGCTACAGTACGGGAGGGGACTGTAAGGAGGGTGCTGTTTTCATATCACTGTAGGTACTGCCAGGAAATAAGGAGAGTCTGCGGGTGCTGGGTAAAGTTAGCCCGAACTACTTCTCGGCCGCACAGGGTCCGAGCACGAAAAACGTCCAGGAGCTGATATTAGTAAGAGAGCGCTGTTTGAGCACTGAAAATTTTGATCGTTCAAATATTCGGATGTTGAGGTAAATAATCTAGTCCCATTTGGCCTATATCCCTCTAAAGCCTTCCTAGTTATATACCCCTAGATGCCTTTTTAGACCAGTTTTGTTCACACTGGGATTAATAAGGGAGATGAGGTTTTTTGAAGAAGTTTTTGGAGGAATTTCTGAAGAAGGGTCTAGGCCCGAAACGTCAGCTTTCCTGCTCCTCTGATGCTGCTTGGCCTGCTGTGTTCATCCAGCTCTACACCTTGTTATCTCTTAACAAGGGAAATGTCTGGATCAGACCAAGGTTGTGAAATCCGGGACATTTGGAAGGAGGCGAGCTAATTCACCGCTTACCTTCAGCTCCTGGAGGTTTAACTCCTTCCCATTTTCCCGGGCACTGTGCAGCATTAAGGTCAGAGCGTCAGGCTGAGGAGCCAGACGGTTTGCCTGCAGCTTCTCTCTGATCGCAGTTTCCAGGTATTCGTGCAGGGCGTCCCGTGCTTTGATTCCCTGATTGAAAGGAAAACGAAATCCGCGTTTCAAATGGACTCGACCTTTATAGAAGCTGCTTGAGAACCGGATTCAATACGGCTTTCGCTCCGGATTTTAAAAAAATGCCCCGCAATGAGAATTCTGACATGTTCCCTTTTGAATTGCAGGGTGACTGTCCTGCAAGACATATCAGCTCTGGCGAAGCGTTATCTAGACTCGAAACGTTAGCTTGCTCTCTCTCCGTGGATGCTGCCTGGCCCTCTGTGATACCAGTATTTTTGTTTTGTTTTTAGTACAGATTCCAGCGTCTGCAGTAATTTGCTCCGATCCTATAAGACTCCCGGCCAATTTGACAGCAAATTGTTTGTTTTAAAGCTACTACTGTTTAATGTATGACCGAGCGCACACTGCCGTACAGAAACAGCGTTCGAAGGAAAACTTAACGTCAAAGTTAGGGTGAGAAAGGAAACTTTCCATAAACCGAAGAGAGAGAGAACAAATACTGAGAGATAGTAGGAACTGCCGATGCTGGAGAATATCAGATAACAAGGTGTAGAGCTGGATGAACACAGCAGGCCAGGCAGCATCAGGGGAACAGGAAAGCTGACGTTTCGGGTCTGGATCCTTCTTCAGAAAGGGTCAGAAAATTTTTTTCCTGCTCCCCTGATGCTGCTTGGCCTGCTGTGTTCATCCAGCTCTACACCTTGTTA